GTTTAAAAGAATCCCCTCACCTGGGCTGTGGGCATTACAAAGGCAGCAATCTTGCCTGTTCAGCTTTTGCTGATCAATGAAGCCCCCACACAGAACTGGCCAGGAGACGAGAAGAATGCTGGATATGGAGGCCAGGCTGAGGGTAAAGGTGTCTTTGATGCCTGAGAGGAAAGCAGGTCTGAGTAGACTGGGGACAGGGTGATTGCCAGATAAGGTAGACACAGGTACATCAGCAAATTGTATAAGGTCTGGAGCTCACCACTGGGTGGTAGATCAATATTAAGGCAACATCAGCATACAGGTGGTAAATGGAGTCTGAGTGTAATTTAAACCAGTGCTGAGTAAGAAGGGAAGACCTAGGGCAAAGCCACAAGCCGCGTGCTGACATCGAACAGTCCATCCAAACAGCAGAGGCGGGGGGGCCGGCTGCAGGCTGCCTGCTCCCCTTCGTCCCCTGCCCCTTCCTTTTACCTGCTAGGTTACCGTCCCAGTAGCTGTGGTTACAGGCAAATGCCACCACACTCTTGCTACCAATCTTTCTTTTTTTTTCATTACTCAGATTCAACCCACGTCCTGAAGTATGCCAGACAAGCACTCTACCACTGTGCTACATTTGGTCTGCAACCTATTAGCATGTGTGTGTAGGTGGGGGGGGGTCTTGGGGCTTGACCTCAGGGCCTGAGGTGCTATCCCTGAACTTCTTTGCATTTCTGTATTTTGGGGGGTTTTGGTAGTTAATTGTAGATAAGAATCTCACAGGGCTGGTGCCAGTCTCCCACACCTGTAATCCTGGCTTCTCAGGTGGCTGAGGTCTGAGGAGTGCAGTTTGACACCAGCCTCAGAAGAAAAGTCCCATAAGACTCGTCTTCAATTAACCACCAGAAAACAGGAAGTGGAGCTGTGATTCTAAAGGGTAGAGCGCTAGCCTTGAGCAGAAAAGCTCAGGGACAGTGCCCAGGCCTTGAGTTCAAGCCTCACAACTGACAAAAAAAAAGAAAGTCTCACAGGGCTGGGAAGGTGGCTTAATAGTAGAGTGCCTAGCATGCATGAAGCTCTAGGTTCAATTCCTCAGTACTACATACACAGAAAAAGCCAGAAATGGTGCTGTGGCTCAAATGGTAGATAGAATGCTAGCCTTGAGCAAAAGAAGCTCAGGGACAGTGCCCAGACCCAGCTCAAGCTGCAGGACTGGAAAAAAAAGTCTCAGTCTTTTTTGCCCAGGCTGCCTTCCAACCAACCATGATCCTCAGATCTCAGCCTCCCAAGTAGCTGGGATTACAGACGTGTACCAGGCACACGTATATTTTAAAACATTTTGAGCCAGACACCTGTGGCCAACCAGTAGCCAGATAATCAATCCTTTAGATGACACCCACAGATAATCAATCCTTTAGATGACACCTCCACTCTGTGCTGCCTCTCCAGGAACTGTGACTTGGACGGAAAGTGGGAAGCTGGGGGAACTCTTCATCCATCCCCGGGGGACACTTTGCGTCTTTTATGGGGGTGAATGTAAAATGTTATTCCAAGTATTCTCTCTCTCTCCTTGTACTCGATCTTCTTCAACCCCTGGTTGGCCCCCATGGAGGTATGTCTTCCCTGTCTTGTGGGCAGTCCAGCTCTGTGCCCTTCCTTGGGTGGTCTGTGTCTTGTAGTGTTGGAGGCCCCTGCTGTAGAGTTAAAAGTGGCTTCGATTAGAAGCAGTAACCCTTCTGCTGCTCATATTAACCTTGGGCCCACCTGAATTTCATAAACTGTCTTGTTTGTGCTGAAAATGCTAAACCATAGATTACTTGAACAAAGCTACTCTGAAGTCAGGACCCACTTGTACTATAGCTGACCTTGGGTCCCCACAAACTTCAGATGACCAAGCTGGCCCAAGATAAACAGACCCAGGGAACAAACCCAGACCACAAATTATCCCAGCTACAACTTATCAGAACCCAACCAGCCAGGAAACTCCCTGCTAAGCTTGAACTGCGCTGGAATGTCCCGATGGCCCTTTAAGACCCAGCCAGTTGGGTAACTCCATATCGCCTTGGAATGCCCTGCTGAGGCCTCTGGTTGCTGTACATTTGTCAGTCTGTGTTTTTTTTCCTTCTCCTTTTGTCACTTTGTAGTTTTTGCCTTTATAAGCCCGGTGAAGTTTCAGCTGGGGCTTCCTCCTAAGCCCCGCGGTGTCGGTGTGAAGGACCGCCGGGATGAAGCCTTGGATGGTCTTCCTGGTGGGGGTCCTGCGACGGGGCACAACACTGCGATTGGGGTTTTCTTGTTCTATGGGTTTCTTCGTGGTTCTGGGAATGGAGCTTGAGCCCCGAGCCTCACCTCGGCCCCACACGGTGGTTTGGACTCCGCTCTCCAGCTCCAGGCCAGCCACCGCCTTTATCTGCTTCTGGGCGCTGAGGAATCCCCAGGGCCTCGTGCAGGGGAGCGAGGCAGGGACTCTGCCCGGAGCCACCGCCCAGTCCACACCCAGGCTCCGCAGGCCCGGCGGGCGGCGGCCTCCCCGTCGGTCCACAGCCTGCGGGAAAGGCAGGCCTGTGGGAGGCCCGCGGGGAGGGGACGGGGG